CTTAGGTTTAGTTTTAGTAATAATAACTTTAATAGTAATTTCCTTAATAACCTCCTTAGTAGTAATAACCTAATAAGTTTTCTTAGTAAGTATAATAATCCTAATTAATAGTGAGGTAAAGTATTAAAGAGGATTTCTAATAATATCCTATATTAGTTATTATATATATTATTATTTCTATATACTATTAGTAATAAGTAATAGATAATACCTAGATAGGTTATTATCTACTTACTAAGCTATATAGTAATATTTAGGAAGTATTATAATACCTTTAGATAATAAGATTTAATAGGAATAGATTAATTAAAGTTATTATAATAAGTTAATTACTATATTATAAGTATCTATATAGTGTTTAGTAAATTTTTATATATATATAGGGATTATATATATATAATTTCGGTAAAAAGGAGGGGTGGATGCTGTTAACGTAATGGACTGTAGAACAGACTAGAGTGTTTGGTACCGTCGACACATCCAGTTAAGCGCTTATTGACATTGACAGATTGAGAACAAAGCTGTATCGTCTTTGTGTCTGTCTCTCGCTTCCAGGTCTTGAACATGTACGAACAGCTTTAGTGGTGTTCGTCCCCAGTTGGCACGGAGGTGCATACAAACAACCTTGTCCCCATCCCCTCATTTGCACCCCCGCGATCTCCAATAATTCTCCATCCTCTTCATCCCGCGTGTGCTCAATCCTCTCACCTGCGCCTGTTCTCCGCACAATCCACCGGACGGGATCGGTCGATATGTGGACTAGTCTTTCAGGCGGAAAGCTGTGATTTGATGTATGCTGTTGCCTGTGTCCCAGAGAGACTCACTGTTATGATTCTTTCCAGAGTCTCAGCTCGGAGCTTTCATTTCATCGTTGTCATCGTCCCATTCCCAAAAAGTCCCCTGTTTGACTGTCGTGTCCCATCCATGACGATACATACGGCCTAAACTCAGTTCAGCACACTAACGTGTCCTCCCCTGCCTTCATCCATTCACCAACCTGTTCAACCCTGCAAACCCCTGCTCTTTGCCATTTTGCCTCGTCTCCTCCTCTGCGTCTTCTTCTCCACCCCCACCAGCAGCCTAAATTCGTGATCGAAACCACACACCTGGCCGCAACCCCCAGCAAATCACGCGCCGCCTTAATCGCAGGGAGCGGCTCATAGCTCGGCGCTCCATGCCGCAAGAAGAATGGCCACATCCATCAGTAATCCTGGGGAAGAAGGCCCTCAGTCACTCGTCGTGGTGTCTCCTGTCAGCTCACCTGCGCCCTCTCAAGAGTCAACTCTCATTTCTCTCCCCGCCGTGCGCCCCTCGTAATCTGGGGCACCCGGGGCCCCGTAGAGTCCCCAGAGCTGCCCCAGATAGCCACGTCTATTGCTGTTAAGCTTGACTGCTAGTTTGTTCGTGGAGACCGTTCTGCAGCCAACTTGCCGCCTGCCATCACCGATCCATCAGATATCCGTACATGCTTGACAGCTATCCCACATACAGCCGGCCCCTCACTTCAATCTCCAATCTCCTTACGAGCGTCTTTTGCCGGTAACTTTAAACCAGGTACCACGGATACGACGAACCGCCAGACAGGGCCTTGGTCTTGGTCTGCGCCGTCAAGGTCTACACATAGATCGCCTCTTGTTTGTTGCTCAGACTGCGATGCGTTATTCGCGTCCATGTTGATCCCTTGGCTCCTTCCACATGGCCTGCCATCTTGTGTCTGCATCTGAACTGAAGTGCCATCCGGCCACCTTAGCTTGCCCAGCCCTGCCTCTGAGACTAGCCTGGCCGCGGCCATGCTTGTCGATGCATCCCATCCGGCCGCCACGACCGCCCAAGACAGAACAAGAGACCACCACCACACCGCACACCCCCAGAAACCGCTTGCCCTGTCCCACGCCTTCCCCGAAGCCTCCAATTATACCACCTGGTCGGCTGATCGCAAAACCGACTTCCCAAGCCAAGACGTTACTCTGCCGCCCCCATCGGCCCAGCGTCCTCGGGCTGTCCTCCCGCTTCTTGTGAATGGTGGAAAATCCCATGGATAATTCACCGTCCGTCTTGGTACTCAGTGAGGCTCGATTCTCTGGGGTTTCCAGAGGCACAGCTAGCTTCCATTGAAGGATGGCTGGAGGGCGGACAAGACCAACCAGAGGCACAGAGCAGGGGTCTCGGCGAGGAGACGCACAGGAACGATTGTGACCATTGCTCCGGACGGAGATGTACTCCTCACGCACACAATGTACCGTCGGAGAACCTCTGTCGCATCCAACGCCAGGTGGGATGGCAAATTGCTGACTAGGTAGCTTGGAGCCGTGAGGGGTCCCCGGTTACACTGGGGGAAGAGGAGACTTTGGATCAGCAAGGAAAACACCGGCCTGGTTTCTCGATATATCAAGGCGGCCATCTCGCGCTCCTCACATCCACTGTCCCCTCTCTCTTCGCCGCTCCGTCCCTTCACCACCATCTCATCGCGCCCCTCGACCTTCTCGATTTGCAGAGGCTCAATCACGAACGGGTGTCGTGTATTCGATCGACCTTTTCTCCTCAGTAGCAACACCGATCCGCCAGAGCCTGGCTTGTTGCAGAGAAAACAGCCGCCAAAATGTCGACTATGCAGGGTCTTCTCAAGAAGATCGTCAAGAACGAGGCGATGCAGAACGATCCCGCCGAGATCTACGGTTGGAGAGTGTTCGCGCTCGCCGCATCCGCCTGTTTCGGTGCCATGTCCTTCGGTTGGGACAGTTCCGTTATTGGTGGTGTCGTTGTCATGAAGCCATTCATGAAGTAAGCGGACAATACCGGGCGTCAATCTTATCACACAGATACCTAACAATCTTTCACAGTGACTACGGTTTGGAGAACGCATCCAAGGTCGACACCGCCAACCTGACGGGCAATATCGTCTCTACCCTCCAAGCCGGTTGCTTGGTTGGTGCCCTCGCCGCCGCCCAGCTCACCGACAAGTTCGGTCGCAAGTGGTGTCTCGTCTCCGTTGCCGCCGTCATCCTCGTCGGTGTTGCCATGCAAGCTGCTTCTCTCGGTAAACTCGCTCCCATCTTCGTCGGTCGCTTCATCTCCGGTCTCGGTGTCGGCGCTGCCTCCAGTATCAACCCGCTTTACGTCTCTGAAAACGCCCCTCGTGCAATCCGCGGTCTCTTGACCGGAATGTACCAACTCTTTATCGTCACTGGTGGAATGATTGCTTTCTGGATTAACGTGAGTACCGCTCAACCATCTCGATCAGGTCACACAGCATTACTGACCCATCATCAATCAGTACGGTGCCGAGGTCAATCTCAGCGGCAAGAGCCAATACGTTTTCCCTCTAGCCATCCAAGGCCTTCCAAGTCTTTTGCTGCTCGTCTGCATGCTCTTCTGCAATGAATCTCCTAGATGGCTTGCCCGCAAGGACAGGTGGGAGGAGTCCAAGAAGATCCTGTCGGTTCTCCGCAACCTGCCTGAGACACACCCTTACCTTGAGCAAGAATTTCAAGAGATCGTCGACCAGCTGCAGCACGAGAGAGAGCTCATCGGCGAGGCTACCTTCATGAACATGCAGAGGGAGATGTGGACCATCAAGGGCAACCGAAACCGCGCTCTCATTTCCATCTTCTTGATGATCTGCCAGCAAATGACCGGTACCAACGCCATCAACACCTACGCTCCGACCATCTTCAAGGGCCTAGGTATCTCTGGCCGCTCAACTCCTCTGCTGTCCACCGGCGTCTACGGAATTGTCAAGGTGTTGGCTTGCATCTGCTTCCTCCTCTTCATGGCCGACTCTCTTGGTCGTCGCCGCTCGCTGCTATGGACGTCTATCGCTCAGGGTCTCTGCATGTTCTACATCGGTCTCTACGTGCGCATCTCACCGCCCATCGAGGGAGAACCCGTCCCGGGTGCCGGATACATGGCACTGGTGGCTATCTTTCTCTTTGCTGCATTCTTCCAATTTGGTTGGGGTCCTGCGTGCTGGATTTACGCCTCTGAAATCCCCACTGCTCGTCTTCGTTCCCTCAACGTCGCCCTTGCTGCTGCCACCCAGTGGCTGTTCAATCTGATCGTCTCCCGCACTGTTCCCAACATGTTGGCCACCGCGGGCTCTCACGGTTACGGGTGAGTGATGAATTCATTGAGTCTAAGAGGCCAGGTACTAACGTCATCCAGAACCTACCTCATCTTCGGCAGCTTCTGTTTCTCCATGTTCTTCTTCGTCTGGTTCTTCGTCCCCGAGACCAAGGGTGTCTCCCTCGAGCACATGGACAAGCTCTTTGGCGTCACCGACTACGATACAGACAAGAACCTCGCCCACGACAACGCCAGCGACACCAAGGTGCCCGCTCAGGTCCAGATCGAGACGACCAACACCAACGACCCGTACAACCACGTCCGCAAGGAGTCTGCTTAGGTCGCTTGGTGATTTGGAAGGATGCGTAATGTGGATGGTTGAGGTGTGTAAGCGAAGCGAATTTGCATTTAGAAGCTTGAGTTCAGAAGACTGAGCTTGAGTGAGTGAGGATGATCGCATGTAGTTGGCTTTTGATACCTATCCAGCCTGCTACGGCACTGGTCTTTGATGACAATTCAACGGGATTTGAATAATTCCGTGTCCCTAAAAGAAAATTCTTCGTCGGTGAGATGCTGCTTCTCCTCTTAATTCTGTCTAGATGCGGAATATGTCGCATTCAGATGATTCCTGTGCAGTGGAGTCAAACCCTGCATGGGCTGACAATCGGGGGTTGGTTGTCGTCCTATGAAATGGACACCCCCGAGATCTCACTGCATAAGCATGCAAGGATTTCGGCACGAGAAAGTAATTAGCGCTCAGCATCACGCCAAGCGTCAGCACCAACACATGGAATACAGTAAGTATCTGGCCACATTTCTCAGCGGCGGTTCTCTCAGCTTACATTTATCTGGGCTGACTGCCATAATTGATACACCAGCACGCAGCTGGGAGACCTCATCGAAACTACGCTATTCCATCGAACGAGACTCGCGCAACGATGACTATGCCAAGTGCTGGAAAACAGCTCTCATCTGATGTCGAGAAACAGCTGTCAACTGACGATCGCGATGTCAAAGACCTTTGGCAGGAGGCCTTGAAAGGCTATCAGGGCATAGTCGGGTTCAGTTTGGAACGCAAATTCGACAATGCTCAGAGCATGCTCGACTTTGGAACAGAACAAATGAACAGATTCCACAAGTTCAGACACGATAAGGGCAAGGTTGATCGCCTGAGAACCCTCCTTGCCTCTAATCTGGACTACGTGGAAAAAGGCGCCAACCAGATCATCGAGGCAGCTTCGCCAGCTTTCCCCCCAGCCGCGGCTATTGGGACGGCCTTGACCTACATACTCCAGGCCTGTCGTTCAGTCTCAGCTGACTATGACATTGTCATCGTTTTCTTCGAAGACATGAACAGCTTTCTTCAACGTATCAGCATTCTTGAGGCACGACTTCCCCAGAAAAGGGCCTATCAAAACTGCCTGATGGAGGTATTTACCTCGCTTCTCAACATGTGCGGCTTCGCGCAAAAGTACATCGAACTTGGTCGTTTCAAAAAATGGATTACCAACCTCTTTCAGGGAGAAGATAGTGAGCTGGGGGGAGCAAGAGCCCTCATGAACAAGAGATTGGGTCATCTCCAACAAGCCACGGAGTTTGCTATTCTCGGAAACTCCGAGGAAACGCTCAAGATGACCACACAGTTGGATGAGAACCAACGATCTCATACCCAGATGCTAGAGAGGTTCGAAAACACCATGGACAGCATCAACGAAAACACTGAGAACATCAAGAACGATGTCGCCAAGTTACTCAAGTTGTTTGGAGGACAAACGGAAGAAAGTCAGGCCAACAGTGATCTGCTAGGCAGCGCATCGTCTGCAAAGGGCGTCATGGACGCTGAAGAATCAGGAGGCGAGACACTATCTGCCAGAGCCGTTCGATACTTTATACCAGTACTAGGAAGGAACATCGAGGAGGAATCTGAAGCCCTGAGGGAAACACTTCTGCCAGACTTTTGCAACTGGGTGTTTTCAGAGCCAAGCTGGAATGATTGGCTGGCAATGAAGGACGGAGAACGTCCCGTTCTTGCAATTACTGGCCAGCCTGGTATCGGAAAGAGTCATCTGGCAGTTGCCCTCTACGACAAGCTCGAAGAAAGGGCCAGAGAGGATGAAACGGGACACACCTGTGTCGTTCACTTCTACTTTCGCGAGGAAGACGAAGTGTTTTGCTCTTTTCTCACCTGCATGGCTTCATTTGTCATCCAGATTGCAGAGACTAACAATGCTGCTTGCGAAAAGCTGAAAGCACAGCTTGCGAGAGACGACATCAACTTCAACAACCGCCTTTGGCAACACCTTGCAAAGTATTTACTCAAGCCTCTCTTCGAGCAAAACTCCAAGTTCAATCTCTTTATTGTGCTGGATGGATTGGATGAGACACGCGATTGGAATGCCTTCAAGGAGTTTCTGTCCAAGTTCGTCACACAGGAGGGGCTGAGAATGTCGCTAGTGGTCACCTCTAGACCTGAACGCTTGGAAGATTTTCCGACGGACGTCCGACTGCTTCAGATTGAAGTGACCAAAGAAAAGCAGCGCCACGACTTTAAGTTGCTGATATGGCATCGCATAAATTCTCTTGGTTGCCTGAAGAAATTCTGCCGATATGTTAAGCAGCGGGTTGCCGTTGCGGTGGAGGAATTGTCACCCAGTAAGAGGCTATTTAGCTCTTTCATTCAAACATGCTGACTTTTCGCGGTAGACATGCTATATGCAGAACATATGCTCACCCGACTGGACAGTCTTGGCCGCGAGGGCGCAGTTTTGAAAGCACTTAATCAGAATAAGCCCGTTGACCTGAATGACATCTACGAAGGCTTATTATCAGAGTGTCGTCGCCGCACGCCAATCAGTCACCAACAGATTGCTGCCTCGATACTTCATTGGGTAGCTTTTGCTAAACGAAGACTGAAACTAAATGAAGTTCAGTCTCTTCTGAGGCATCTATCACAGGAAGCAGACTTCACTTTTGAAGACATACCTGAGTTCACGTCAAAATTCCTCAAAGTAGCAGACACAGGCTACGACGCCGAATTGCGAGCGAAGGCGCAAGCCAGCAAAGCCACTATGGTTCAAGACTTGAAGCAGCATGGCGACGACAATGACGATATATACGACGATGGACCTCTTCCTGTGAAGTTTCAAGAACGATCCATGAGGCGTTACTTCACAGATGGCCCGCACGCACCTTCAACATTGCGTTGGGGACCTTCCGAAGCCCACCGTCGGATCTTTTTGAGCAGCACGAAGCTGTTTCAACCTTCTCGGATGGATATTGACAAGAACCTCCAGAACTATTGCGCTATATTTCTGCTACATCACTGGAGTAATATCCAGGTCGCTCAACATACCCACCAGGAACAGGTTGAGGTCCTTGAGGCTTTTGCCGAGGCACTTAGCAATAAGACTGGATTTTCTAAGATGATGGGCAAGGTTGGAATGACGTATCGCTACGCATCAACCACCGTCACTGATCTCAGAATCCAAGACTGGGCAAAGCTTGTGAAAATTCAAGAAGTCAAGGATAGTCTCAGTGATTTTGCCGCGGAATGGTGGTGTCGCGTTGAACAAGATCCCGCCACCTTTCGTCTGGGCCTGGCCAAGGGTTATCTTCGGGAACTGTATCAGTCACTGAATGTAGAAGATGCTATGAAGGCATGGGAATGCCTTCAGAGCATCATGCTATTGGTAAGTCCAATTCTGCTCTCAAAAAGCTCAAATTGGCACTTTGAACTGGAAGGAAAAGAGATGGTCGTGCTAATATACACTGAACAGATCGGGAAAGGCAACCTTCTAATGGAGCAAGGCCGTCTCAACTTTCCTGACGATGTCAAAACATGCGATGAGACAGAAACGGTCTTTGATGCGGCTAAGGCCAGCCTGGGTATCTTGGGTCTCTTCGCACAAGACGTGACTCCGGATGCAGGCGGTCATCGCGCAACAGCTGAAGTTCTACTCAAGATTGGGTATTTGGGACCGGCTGAGAAGACTTGCAGAGCAGCCCTAAAGCTTTGCAGCCCAAGTAACCCTGAGTGGTACAGGGCTTCTTGTGTTCTGTGTGACATATTGTTACAATCAAAAAGAAACGAAGATGCTCACCAGTTCGCTGGTGCTGCAGTCTCTCAGCTCTGGATAGCGGAGATTCCTGGACATCTAAAGCGTGCCGTGTGTACTACGTACGCCAGAGCTCAATCAGAATTGCGTAACTTTGACTCAGCGCTTCAGCACTATACCGAGGCTAGGGACTCCGATCCCGAAGGCGTCACCCCATCATCCGATCTTGTTGCAGAGTTGGATGTCTTCTACCAAAAGGCAGATCAAGCCGGTTATATCCAGGCTTTGAAGAGCTGGACCCTCCTGGAAAGGATCACCTGGTTGGCGTCCGATTACGCGACAGAAGGAGAAGATCGAGTTGCTCTACTTTGTGACATTGCCGTGCAAACCGGTGAAAAGCAATTCGTTGTTGATTTTTACGAACAAGTGGTTGCCTTCTTAGACAACCTCGACGCCGCCACACCTCTTCGCCTAGATCTTGCTGTTGTGTACTTCGAGGCCTGCAAAGATGCCGAGAAGGCTCTCAATAACTTGGACGATATATTCGACAGCAATGACACGGTCTTCGTTTACCCCATCACATCTGTCACTCCAGGGTGGGTGTTTCGTATGGCGTTGACTCTGATGACAAATGTTCAGGTAGAACTCTTTCGGCAGTCGAGGGACCCGGTCTACAAAGCAGAACGCCTCCAATCTCTCGCCAGCCTCATGGAACGCCCATTGTCACTACATATCCCACACATATCCCCAATCGCTACTATATCGCACAGGATCGGCTTGTCTTACATGTACTGGGTCATGGGGCCCAAAGCGACATTCGAAGAAACGCTGCGAAAGTTATTCAAAGAAAGCTTCGACGCTCTGAGTGATTCCATCAAATGGAATGATGGTACGTATGTGTGGACACTTACACAGGCGCTGGCGCTTCTAAGTCGAGCGTTGGGAAATGACGACACGCTCCGCCGCTACGCTCGTATCGTTGGTTCTGCTCTATTGTCACGACTTACCAAGTCCCCAGAGGAAAATGAGTCAGCGGGTGGCAAGCAAAGAGCTAGTCATATACCGGAAGGAGATGAGCATGGGTCGGAAGGCAGCTCCCCTGAAGACGAGGGAGACTTGCTGAGTGACCCAGGGTACACGTGCGGAGGCTTTTGTTCCCCAGCCCGACCCTTTCGGCGGTGGGGAGATGGCTCGGCGTACTTGTACATCACTTTTGAGACGGGTATGATTTGCGAAGAGTGCCAAACGGAATACGAAGCTGTGAAGCGCGGCGAAAGAACAGGCAAAGTACGATACTTCCACGGCATAGGGCACGACTATGTCAAGCTTCCCGTCGAGGGCTGGCGGGGTGTCAAAAATGGACTGTTGAGGTTGGATGGCGAAGAGCCAGTGGCATTCAGTAGTTTCTTGAAGAAGCTTCAGACGGAGGTCATCGAGAATGCGTGGGATCGCCTTTGGTCTGGAGAGGCGTAGACGAGAAAGCGAGGTGGTGTGGCGCTTCTTCAGCCGCACGTTCAATGTTGAATGCTATAATGATTCAGCCCCAAGTTGGCGTGCGAATGAAAATGCATGGACGGAAGTGATGCTAAGCTTCTTTCAACCAAACACCGACGGCTCACGTTGACCTATGAATTGCTATTCAAGCCATGAATGCTCCCTTGGTGATTGTAGAGACCACCATCCACTTGTAAACCTCGCGATGTAGAAGCCGTTCCACCATCATCCCCAGTCTAATTTGCTTGCCAAGTCCTGCTAATTCTCACCGTCGTCAATCCCAGGATACTTCATTCCTCTTGGCGTTGAATTACTTTCGCGGAGATTGAGAGAATATTTATAAGCGTGTGTTGCTATCCCCAAGATCCAACAGTATAAGTGACGGAAACCCCGACCAGTACACATCTTGATGTGATTTAACGAACGCCGGGTTCTTTCTCACCTCATCAAAATGGTATGTCTTCTTACTGCTATCTGCCTCTTGGGCTCCTTCGTGAATCTTGCTGTTCAGGCCCAGAACCCCCACCATGCCATCGATCCCACCCTTTTCGCCGGTATCAAACCGAATACCGAACTTGAATGGCATGCCTGTTACTCTGTATTCAAGTGTGCGCGGTTGAAAGTTGGCCCCCTTTCCTTCCATCTCTCGTACTACCCTTTCGACTCACATCCAACAGGTTCACGCAAAGATTGATGACCCTCGCAACCCAAAGAAGGTCAAGGGGAAGTGCGGTCAACCAACCGTCGACCTTGCCATCGTCAAACTCCCCTATGTTGCTGCTCCAGGTGGTACCCCTCACCAAGGCGCAGTTCACGTCGCCTTGGGTGGCTGGAGCTCCTCGTCAACCAACTTCCTCGTCCGCTTCGGAGAAGACTACGCCCCCCTTTTCGCAGGATATGATCTTCTCGCTATCGGTAAGCCCGCCATACCTTGGCAATCTCACAAACCACAGACTGACAGAAACCCAAGACTACCGCGGCTGGGGTTGGACAACACCCTCCTTCCGCTGCTTCGCCACCGAAGACGAACGCAAACAATTCGCCCTCTCAGAGCCTCCTCTCCTCGGAGCCGACGATGCCGCATATTCTCTCCGCGAGAAGCGCGCCGAGGAGTTTGGAAAGAAGTGCAAGAAACACGGCGAGGACGTCGGCCGGTTCATAGGCACGTACGCCAACGCCGTCGACCACTACACCGTCATGAAGGCGGAAAACCGCACCAAGATGGGTTTCTGGGGTATCTCGTCCGGCGCCCACCTCGGACAGACGATCGCCCAGCTATACCCGGAGGCCGTGGACAAGTTCCTCTTTGACAGTAAGCTCCCCCTGCCAATGTCACGAACATGAAGTACTGAAGCACGCACACAAGGTCCAACACCCTCAACGCTCGCGTACACCGTAACCCAAGCCCAACCCTCCCAAATCAAAGACGCGGAACGCGGCCTCGAAGCATTCTTCTACGCATGCCTCAACTCCGCCCCGGGAACATGCGCCTTTACAAACACCTCCAAAACCACAACCGCCCTCCGCGCGCGCTACACAGCCCTCGAGGCAAAGCTCAGATCCAAGCCCCTGAGCATCCCGGGCTCCGACTACAAATTCGACTGGTCCGCCCTCCACACCTTCACGACCACCGCCCTCCACGCCCCCGGCTGGTTCCCCGTCCTCGCGGGCGTCTTCGCAGAAGTCGAGAACGGGACAGCGGGGCCAGCCATCGCAGGCGCAGTATCCTCCTCCCTCGCCGTCCCGCCTGCCCCGCTCCCTCTCCTAACAGAAGAAGCGCCCTTCGAGGGCATCCTCTCCGGCGTCTGCATCGACGAGTCCCAGCACATCAAGAACACCAACGACTTCAAGGCCTACCCCAAAAGCATGGTCGCCGCCGCGCCCAGCGTGGCGCCCATCTTCGCGGACTGGCGCCTCGTCTGCTCCAAGTGGAAAATCGACCCAGCCAACAGGCTCCCAGACGTCTCCAGCGAGCCCGTCAGGACGCAGGGCAAGATTGTCGTGCTGAACGGGGTGGGCGACCCCGCGAGCAGCGTCGAGGGCGCCAAGAGCGTCGCTGCGAGGTTTTCGCCGAGCGTGTTTGTGAAGAACCTGGCGCCTGGACATACGAGCTTTGCGGCGGCGAGTAACTGCTTGTTTGGGCTGTTTTACACGTTCTTCGTGCTCGGGCAGATGCCGGCGGAGGGGTATACTTGCGGTGATGTCTTTGCGCCGGCCTTTGGGGTGCAGATCCCTACTGGCTTCTAGGGAAATGGCTTTTCGCCGGGATATCTGTGGTGAGAGGACAAAAATGGGCTTGGTTCTGTTAGTTGAATGTCACTATTTGGAAGTTTCGGGGGATAGAGATTTTGTATGGTCAAAAGAAACCTCTTGACGCGCAGACCATGTAATGGGAAGCAGAGACGGCATCCAAATCATAAGAAACAGGCAGTTGAAAGCTTCAAAAGCCCACAATGTGGCAGGTATATTGCTAAAGCGACGCCATGCCTTCAGGCTGGCCCGGCCCAAAAAAACGCCAGCCTAGATCGTCGCAAATTGCAGTGGGCTCTTTCGTCCCAATTGAACAACCGAACCGTTCGGCCTGTGTTCCCTTCCATGCCTGGTGCCTTTTCCCGTTGCTGAACCACAGCAACCCATCCCTAAATGACAGCCCCGATGAACGCCTAGTATTGCTCTATGACATGAAAAGAACACGCTGCTTGAATCATGACACTAGAAACTGAAAACTCATTGGCCACCACCACCCGGGCCGTCGAAGAGGAGAAGAGGCCACTGGCCTACCGGCGCGGCTGTGACAGCGGCCATTTCGGCCACAGTAGCCGCTTCCGATACTGCGTTCGGATCCCTGGGACCACCGCCCAGCGTCAAGAGGGCGTTGGCGCTGTAACGATCTTGGCTATCAGCCATCGCAGCGGTCCAGTCGTGCCAGGTATTGCCCTGAGATGCGGATTGTCGCCACAGAAGCTCGGCGGCGGCAGCGGAGCCGGTCGGGTCAGCCACATGCTGAGTTGCCTGCGAAGCAAACGCAATCAAGGGGTTGGTCTCGGCCGAGGTCTCGTCTGCGCCGGTCGCCTGCACTGCAGGCGTGTAAGAGTAGGCGTTGTTCGCCTCAAAAGCAGCATTGGCAGCCAGACTATTGTTTCCGGGCTGCTCGGCGTATGCCAGAGACGGGTACGGCGTGTTCCCGTTCTGGTTGGCTGATTCTGCGTAGAATGCCTTTGCAGCTGTCTCGGCAGCGCTCGCAGCCAAGGCTTGTGTAGACTGCGGCTGTGCCGAAAGCTGGAAAGGCGACGAGTCTGCCGGGTCGGGCTTGATCGTATGAGGCAGCGATCCTTCCTTTTGCTTAGAGTCGTGCTCGATCCAGCTGATTGTTCTCTCAATGATGAGATTGATTTCGTTGCTGATGCCAGATCCCGTGCCTAGAGTTGAGTTAGTCACGGTTTTCCTAATGGGTAGTGACGCTACTCACCGATGAGTGATACTGTGGCGTTGATGATTTCCATCCAGTCCCTCATGTCAGAGCGAATGTTGGCGATCTGGTTAGGAGTCGTCTCGAACCTCCTTTCCCAGTGGGCGACCAAAGTTGTGAAGATGGCCGCGCCATAGACCGCGATTTGATACCACGTCGTATCCAACGATTTCAGCTTCAGAATGCATTTGGTGGCCTTGAGCATGTGCGCCGCCGTCTCCTCGCAGATTCGGGCATTCTCCAGGAGCATCTTGCGGTCGCTGGTCATGGCCACCGATGGATGACGCAGGCAAAGACGGAACTCGAGCGCATACATCTGTATGTACAATGCGTACATTTTGCCTTCGTGCTCCGTCTGGCCGGCGAGGTTGAGTTGGAGGTTCTCCGGTAGGCTGTCCTTCCACAGTTGAAGCTGCTCCTCCAACGCGTTTACGACATCGGCGTAGTTCTTCGGATCACGCTTGACGCTGTAGATGTTGGAGTACATCTCCATGAAGAGAGGGACGATCTTGAATCCAGCCAAACCGACGTGGTAATTGCAGGGCGTTGTCACGGACGTGTCGACGCCCTCTGGTGTCAACGCCTCATCGGCAATGGGCTCGGGGAAATCGACATCGTACTCCTCCACATTGATGGGCATAGGCCGTCCGAGGCGCCCATTCAGGGTGACGTATACGGTCAGAATAGTCCACCAGGTGCGCTTGCGGATCTCGTTTTCCAGATTTGTCGTTTCACCTGGTGCCTTGGCAGCGCGGTGCAGGTTGAGGTCAATGGCACAGTGGAAAGCAAAGTTGGTGACCATGGACCCGCATCCAGGTTTGGGGAAGGCGCGGCTGTGGGCAGAAATCATGGCCATGGCTTGCACGGCAGCGACAGACTGCGCCGAGGCCAGGTCATACATTTTACTCAGAGCGAAGTGGTAGTGCTTGTTAGACAGCTCATTCAGCTGGGAACGGCTCTCCTGCTGCTCCCAGTTTCTTACGCCGTACTGGAAGTAGATGGTGGCAAAGACCATGTGCACCATGACCAGATCGGGAACCTCTGGCTCGAAGTCGGGTTCGTCGTACATGCGAGTCAGCTTGGAGAGATGGTCAGCAGCAAGCACAGATAGACAGAGGAAGGGTTCGACCCACTATATTCATGAAAGTTGGCTTGTGAAGGACGGGCAGGAATGGCCAGATCATAAGGAAATACCACTCCGAGTATGTGAAAGCGTCGCTTCGCGAGGGAAGTTCGATATTGACGGGCGGGTTGATGTTCATACATGACTGCAGGAAGGACTGGAGGGACTTGTTGTAGAGCGGCTGGGAGATCTTGGCATCGGGTACGGGCTCGTCCATGTCAGGGGCGTCGAAGGAGGTGACGTCTATGGTAGTGCCGAGGATGGACAGCCGCGTGCCCTTGATGGAGCTGAGAAGGGCGCTGTCGCCACCTACGCCAATGTGGTTGTGAACAGGACGCGACTCGAGTGATGACCGGGGGAAGGAGCGGCTCGCGGGCGGCTTGAAGTTGTAGTTCTTGACCCAGACGGATCCGACCTTTGTCCAGGCATCCTTCTCGGCCGGGTCCTCGACGGCATTGCCCACATGATCGTAGGTGACGCCTGGTGGAGGGTAGGCCATGCCGTAGGGGGCCCAGGTCCAGGGCTTGACCTCGATGCCGTTGTTTTCGAGGAGCTTCTCGAGGTCGCGTATGTGGTTCATCATGTCGGTCTTTTCGCGCTCGAGTTCCTGCAGGTACCCTCGACGTTCGGTTCGGCCGGTGACGCGATCGGTGACAAAGCAGTCGAGGTTCTGATTGACGCAGTGGGAGCATCCTTCGGGGAGGGCATCGCAGCGGATCTTCCTGACCTATGGTTCGGGTCGTCAGTACGGTGCGGTTTGATGGTTCGACGCTTGTCTGGCAAAGGACAGGAACAGGACATGTGAACTCACCTTGCATCTGTCGCAGGCCTGGCCGGTCCTCGTGTAAGACGACAGGCGGTTCTTGACGACGGAGGAGAAATCCTCCTGGCCGCCCTTGTCGAGACGCGGCAGCTTCACCTTGCCATGACCAGCAGCAACAGCGGCCGCGGCAGCAGCAGTGTCGGCGTCGGTGGTGGCAGGATCGCCAGCTTCCGCCGGTCGCTTGGGCGGGCGACCGGGCATGGTCTCGTTTCGAGAGGAGAGTCGCGACGTCTGGCGGAAGGAGGCCGCATACAAACAAAAAGAAAACTCGCAGGCGCAGGGACAAGACGACGGCAATGCAGACTCTCGGTGGTCGCTCGGTGGTATCGCGACGGGGTTTTCCGCAGAGAGATGGAGGTTGCCGCGTTTTTAGGGGAGCTGGTGCTGTTGGTGCTGCTGTGGTGCGTGTGTGACGGGAGGTCCAGTGCCTGTCAAGGGGGGTGGGGGGACGCTACCTTAGGTATGGGCCCAGGCACGCCAGCACGCCAGGTAAGGCGCTCCGATGGCAGGGGGTCCGAGCTGCAAATCGTCCGGGGGAGACGGGAGAGAGGGCTGACGCTGACGGGCTGCCCTGCGCTTTTAGTGGGCACGCGCCAGGGGTGGTGGTGGTGGTGGGTGCATCCACTGGGCTGTCTCTCTGTTGAGTAAGGTAGGTCTTCTCAGTGTCTGGCTGCGGGCAGGCAATCACTCCAGTCCACTCCTCCAACAACTCACACACTCACCACCTGCTTACTTTACCTAGGTAGGTAGACAACACCTCGCACGCAACACACCCTAGACGGACGCAACACGCGGCGGCTGCGGGAACACGCCAACCGAGTCCCAGCCTGTCGGGATGCGGGCGCGCGGGTGCTAACCTACCTCCTTCTTTGCGCACTGGGGGCTTCTTGGTGGAATGCAGCTGAGTCGAAGCCCGGGTCTAGAAGGCCTAGGTCAGCTGGGGGTCCTGGACTTTGTCTCTGATTGACTAGAAGAATGCTCTCCACGCCCAGACGGATCTCGATGAAGGACGAAGTTGTCGGGTTAAAGAATGGCAGACATCGGTGCTGCTGTTGCTGCTGCTGTTGGGGTTAATACAGGCCCAGCCACTTCAGCTCCTCATACACGACGGAAACCTGTCATTTGCCTCGACGAGCCCCTTACGGACACCTTTACAAACAACCTGCAAGAAACGAGAAACACGAGAGACTCGATCCTTCCTGTTCCCGGGCTCGAGCAGGGCTGGGCCGTCAACCACCATGAGGGTGTGGAGGAAGCGAGAAATTCTTGGTCACGGATGGCCAGCACTAAACCTTGACCAACTGCAACTAACTGCCTTCCTTACCCTCCACTAAGAGATAGGCTGAGATCGATAATATCATCCTTCACATCTGGCACCGGCCATCCATCCATCTTGCAGCCGACGGGAGCGAGATTGGCCACAGTTGGTGTTGCGCTTGTTGTTTGCCCGAAACTCAAGAAATCGACGCCATGTCATTTCCAAAACCAACGCCGCCAGCCATCGGAGGCGTTGGGGGGGCGTCGCCCTCTCTCAAAGAACCCCGTGGCAGCAAAGAAAGAACACCCTCACACGCCTCCTCCTCCATTTCCCCCAAGGGTTCCAATGTTCTAGCTCAAGGTTAGAGTGTCTTTGGTTGCAAGCGAAATGTCTCTCCGGCGGGAGGGGCACTGCGTCTAAGCCGGATCGACTGCGTGGTCGAGCCCGCAAAGCTCCTTTGTTAGTGCCTCATCCCCCACGCCGCGAACGTTCCGGCAATGCCCCGTACCGGCCATCTAAGCCCACGGCAATTCCATCGGGTTAGCGACCCGTGGCCGCATGTTTTCAAGTCTTG